GAGGGAGCTTAAGACTCATGAGATAACGCTAGTTTATCTCAAGGCCTCTATTTGAGATGTCATGAAGCAAAGTCCAGTCCACCACAACTCATACATGCATCACAAGCAAAGTACACCACACACGCTCGGATCGCCAAGCCAACAGCTGTCAATACGTCAATCAGTTGTTCCAGTCAGCGAATTGTTGAGTTAGGCGCTCAATCGGGATCGAGTCGGGATACCGTTCGCCCTGCGAACAGACGTGTGCGTCTCCCTTCTCTGTGTTGTTTCAACTGTGAAACCTTAAGAGGAACCATGACACCCGAGATGCTCCCCTGTGGCCTCATCCTACCCACCCCACCCCACCCCACCCAGGCACTTCAATCAAACACCAGGAGCAGGGTGAGCGGGACATGAGGATGCTGGTGCTAACAGCAACTCCAGACGGATTTAACTGTTTCCCATCGTGATGTATTTCGCTCTTAAAGTAGCGGGCGTGATCATTTTTGACAAGGTCAAGGTTAGGGTTGATTTCTCAAAACTAACCTTGCTGACCTTCTCTGGTTAGCATGAAGCTCCAACAACCATCAAAGCCCTGTGATTGCACGCACTCACCAATAACATTTAGCATGGACGCAACTTGTTGTTTTTCTCCATTCGACCTGACCTAAACCCCCGGCGTTAATGCTCAGGCTGCTAGACGGAGGCCTGGCTTCTGTCTCTCCAGAGCGAGACAGAGAAGTTGAGTCCAATGAGAAAGAGAGCCATATAGTGGAGACGGAGTCCAGGCCTGAGGCAGGCTCAGGCCGTCACACATTAGTGGACAATTCTTGTCGTTTCTGGTATGAGGCGCAGGGCAACTTTGGGGGGTGGGGGGGCGAGTCGTGTTTGGTCTTTTCGTCAGGAATGTATTCCTTTCCAAACATGTTAACAAAAGCAACATGCTGAACTTTTGTTTGGCAAGACATTCGAATTGTGCTATAAACATAGACTGTGGCATGACCTTCAAAACCACTGGCATCCACTCCCAAGGCATCTCGTGACAGGCCTTTGTGTCCTCGACCAAATCAAATGACTGCGAGCCGGCCTGGCCCGTATAATGAGCAAAGACCTTTGGCTCTCAAGTAAGGAGCCGAACAACTGATGTGTCGAGATCAGCAAATAACTAACCTCCCGTAACCCCTTTCAGGAAAGTACTACGGATTGCCCAAACGCAAAGTCCAAGGCTGTGGCCCAGGAACTCAAAAGAACAAACACTTAGCAAGACACTAAAACCAGCAAAGATCTGAACTCGCTGAGTCACTCCAACAACAATGCTCACTGACTAAAAGCAACCAACTGTAAGTTTGAAGCTCTTGTGGTCTTTAACAAAGTTGTGGCATCACATGTCTGGGTTTGGTAAGATTATAAAAGCTTTAGATGCTGATATTGTCTCCAAAGTGGGTGATCAGACTGAATTTGGTCTCAAATTGCGTAGTCCAAAACTTTAACAACATGGAATCAGAATGCACGCATATCGTTTTAAAGGGTGGAAGCTACAAACTGTATCTTGGCTACAGAAGAAAAGGAATGCAGCTACAGAAATATGAATATGAGATGCATGTGTATGCCAAAGAGGCCTTCCTGGATTCAACACTCAATCACCTGTTCACAGAGGAAAACCCTGCGTGGATGTTAGAATGGAAGCGGCTGTGGTCAAAAGCAGACAATGCTGGCGGAGCTCTACCCAGAGTAAACTCGGTTAGCGATGAAGAGCACCAATGTTGAGTAATGCTGATGAAGACGTAGCCAGGACATATGCATCCGTGGAATGTGGGGGAGTGCAACGGATGAATGGCAAATTTTAAATGCGTGAACGGGGACAACAATGTGATGATATCAGAGACCCCCACAGAGCAGCTTCAGAGGCAGAAATTCTGCCAAAATTACCAAAGACGAAGAAATACTGACCCCAGCATTCCTTACTCTCTCTTTCTCGCTGATTTAATTCAGATCCCTCGCGCTGAATTTTGCTGTATGTGTTTGTGGAAGAAAGTAAAATGGCAGGTGGGAAGAATGTTGCCGTGCAATGCTAAGCGATTGTCTTTACTCACATTTACTCACTTAAGGCGCAAGAAAGAGGAGACAGACTTGAGAAATGTGAGAAAAAAGCAATCGCGGAAACAAATGCAGCATTACTTTGTTTTGGGAGACCACATTCTCTCGTCCCTCTGTGAGATGCTGCTGCTGTAACCTTAAATCATCAGTGCTTATGAACTTGTAGCAATGCAAAGCTATATGATCCCAGTGGAGATCATAAGTAACAACAAAATCAATGTATCATCTTAACAACAAAATAAGCTAAAAGAATGAAAGCAATAAAAATCACTAATGTCTCTGAGACTACCATCATTCCTTAATCAGGGGAAGTAGAGTGATACGTATCATGGGTGAACCTGCTGCAGTAACAAGCACTGCAGGGTATGTGCACCAGAAAAACATGCCAATCAACTCAAAGAACGGTTTACAGTTTCGTGGAGACTTGTCAGATTGTGACTCCACAGCTGAGAGTGTTTAGGGAGGAAAGGCTCAGAAAGCAACAGCCAATCAACTCTCATCATCATAAACCTCACATCACAAACATGCAAGCTCGGATCACTCAGGATCGGGGTAGGAACGATGCATATTTGGATTGCAACGTCTGAAATCCGACCTCCGGGGCAAACATAATAAGAACACAAATCGGCCAGAACAATAGAAATTTAGAAATCGAGCTGGTTTTCTGTGAAAAGCCGCAGCGGAGGAGTATGAGGTCTTTGTTTAGAGGGCGAGGGCAGCGACGATTTACTTCTGCAAGACCCCACAAAACAGAAAGAGACACTACATGTACAGTTTGGGCAACCAGCAAACAGTCTTACTAACCATAACCCTGACATTGATGTTGAGAAGTAGAAACAATCATGCTGACACAGGTTTAAAAAAAATCTCTTGACACATCATCATAAAAGATTGATTATAAATATCACTGTCAGACTTTTTGTTCAGTCGTAATGCCTCATGTTAAGTGGTAACATGATTTAAGTACCATTAAGTGGTATAATTTGCTGACTGTTTTCATAGCAACTCAGCCCGCTTCCTTTGGGCGGGTGTGACTTTTTCCAAATGGTTAATATGCCGTCTTCAATTTAAAAGGATAGAAACATCTCCCTTTCCCAGGTTATTTAACAACGAGAGAGTGCCGAGTGGAGAAATAAGAGAAGAAAACCAGAAATGATTGGAAAGTGTCCAGCCTGTCTGAAGACGGCGGAGCTGTGGGAAGAGATTATGCTGTTAGCCTGACCAGGTCGGGGTCAAATACAGTTTAAAAACCTCAATTGTTCATTCAGAGCATAGCAACCGTAACCAGGCACGGCAGAAAACCCGAAAGCACCGGACCAAAAGTGTAAGAAACAAAATAAACGGTGTGTTAATATTAGCATAGCATAGAAGTAGACTGTCGCTGTCATGTCTCTATTTGTTTGTAGGCTTTCAACCCTTGAGATGGGCTTGTTGGGTCGTCATTGTCTTCGACACACGTCCATCCCGACGGAGAAGCTGCTGTAGCTGCAGCTTGTCACAATCACGAGGCAGCAATGATCTGAAGCATGCGGCCTAAAGTTATATGGTCAAATGTACTCTGATAAGTTATTAAATGAGCATCATGCTGTATTGAAACAAGAGATTGAGACTAAAACCCCAAGTTTATAACCTTTAATGAAATGAATGTGAATACAGTGCTCTTTGCCCGTTGAACACATGCGCACACATTTTCCCAGGACGGATCTGTTAATAAATGCAGTGTGGCTGCACGACTCCTGACAGGAAAACCGGACTTGCTGAAATACTAAAGGAGAAATATGTTTAAGTACTGAATAGTCTGTTGAATGGCCGTGAAACAATAAATACAATCTGTCAACCCGCCCACAAAAAAACAATTGTTTGATTGAATTTCAATTGATTGAATTTGAATTTATGGGCTTTGAGAAATGATCTGTGTTACTTTTGTCATGGAACAGTAAGAAGTACAAAATTCATCTAGACAAACTGAAACTTTCATTCAGTCTAAAAAAAAAAAAATCCAAATACATAATGGCTGCTTCATCTGTCCTGTCTGAACAACATGCTACTCTTGCTGAAATTAAATTGAAAGTGATATTTGTGTACAGACAGAATGGATCTGTTTGCACAATGCATTTGGTCCAGGCCAGCGCTGAACCGCCTCGGGAAACCTGGGAAGGAAAATACAACCTCATGTAATCCGCCTCCTCTAGCACCACGCGTCTCTGTTAGAGCCCCAAATGCAGCCTGTTACAGTCCAACCTTGACAGTGAACAGACGGGATGGTCTGGCCTCACATCAGGACCGGTGCCTCATTTATTAAAGGATCTTCTTACGCCAACAACCAAATCCAAGCCAAAGTTTGGCTTTAGAGGAAAGTTATCGACGTGTCAAAAGGAGCAATTTACATTGACTTTCTCGCGGTGTGCATGAGGTATCATGAGCTGAAGGTCTTACAACCTGCCACAGCGCCTGCATTGACTTTCTTCTTTTACCTTCAACTTATGTTTCAAGACGCTCATGCAATATGATATCAAAGGATTTTTTCCTATATGGCTTAGCTGTGGACTCAAGATGAGTTCAAGTTCAAATCCTGCTTTTACTGTTGTTGAGGTCGCAGAGAGCAGCAGAAAACTACTTCCCACGTAAAGTAAAGGTATGTTTTGTTTTTTTCTTCATAATATTCACCAAACCAAAAGAAAATCATCTTGATTTCTCAAAGGCTTGTTGCTGTTGGTTAACAAAGTCCAGTCATCATTCAGTCGCTGAGTGATGATCTACAGTAAAACAAATAGTTTCTCTCCCAAGTTACACAGTTAGGAGGGATCTCCTGCGTGGAGTTCAGTAAACGACTCAGCGGGCGGTTCCGTGGTTACAGAGATCGTTCCACCGCCCAAGAACAGTCTCACGTTCCATCCTCCCGAGTCATCCATCCGAAGTCTTACCTGAAACAAGTGCTGTTCTTCCCTCCAGCTCTGACACAGGGATACTGTACGGTCACGACCTTATCCACCGGACACTCCGTCCTGAGAAAAGGAACGACGCATTGGAAATGAATGTGATACGCATGGCGCTTTTAACAGAGTTGAGAGACAGAGCGGCAGGGTTGGACATGAACAGAGAACCATTGTTAAATGTGTATAAATACATTAGAACGAAATGGATAAATTCTAAAATAAATACAGAATTAAACAAAATAATACATGAATGCTGAAATAAATGGAAAAATGATCGAACAATGCAAAGAGGTTGCAGGTGAAAGGTCACAATTAGCATCAAACCTGATACACAGCACAAATAAATAAATCATTGCATCTGATAATAAGCATAACATACAACACAAATTGTATTTATTTATCTTTGAATATATTTCTCGAACTATTCATTTTTCATTTAGTTGCATAACCCCTATGGGACACCCATATTTATGTTAAACAGTTCAGAATAAAGTCACATTACTGTGAATTTCCAGATAAAAAGAAAAACACGTAAACCAAGCCACATGCTAGATTTTATACATGTGCATGTTGTGTCTATGTGAGTATACCAGCGTCGTCATACACAGTGGGTCCTTCAGATAAAATAATGTGAAGAGTCCTAAAGCTTTTGACACAGCATTTTGCTCAATCACCATCACAGTATAAAAGTGTGAGTTCACATTCTTTACTTTACCCTTCTACTTTCAGTCTAATTCCACAGAAATCATATTGGTGTCAAATAGTGAAACCTGTCTGGTTATAAGGAGCAGCTTAGATGTCCTCTCCTCCTCACAATATGTGTGTTCCACTTACATCCTCTCTTCACCTCCGTGTCGGGGCACCTTGATAGCATCTGTCATGTTTGTCTTAGCAGAAATAACATTTGGCTCAGTGCACCACGACCGGTTCCAACCATTTGGAGTTTGCTTCTGCCACCTTTTTTTTTGTTGCTATTTCCCTGAAAATCGCATCAGATTAGACGCGCTGCAGCGGTTCATCCAGGGGTCCCCTCTCTGTCAACCTGCTCCCACAGTGTGCCGTAAAGCACAAAAACCCAATAAAACTAATAATAAAGACCAAAGTCTGGTATGGCTTTTGGCTCTGTGCACTAACCTGACAAGGGAAGTAAGGCGATTTTAAATTAAAATTCGAAACAAAAACGTATAAAGGGCTCATGCGCACAATGTATGTAGCTTAAATCCCGAATTATTCTCTAAAAACACATCAGTAAACTTGCATGTAAATATTGTAGTTCATGTTAAAAAAAAAAGTTCAAATAAATGCCTTTTCTAAAGTTTGTTCGAGTTTTGCGTCAAGTTGGAAATCGGACATTTATAAACCATTGCATGCCTGAACACCTTTATTGTGCAGGAGGTTGACAGGGCTTCATCATCACCTCTTCGTTCATTCACAGAAAAGAAAGATATTTCAAAGATCCTAACCAGGACCATGCGGCTTACCTCGAGGCGTCGACTGCAAGCGTCGCCCTGATGGAGCTGGCACCAGATTCCCACAGGAAAACAACACAGATAGCGCCAAATGGTACAAGAGTCGCACCATAAAGTTGACCCATGTCCCCTCTGCGCTCTGCGGGGCGGATGATCTGTATCAGGGGGAAAACGCTGCTTCACACCAGCAAAAAGCGCAGTGTTTTCATCTGTCAGTGACGCGCGCGGGTGGTGGTATCAAAATATGAGAAATCCTCGCGCAGTATCCCGCAGAAGTGACGCACATGGAGCCAGTGGGGTAATAAGTGCTGCGCGGTGCGGAGCCCCTTACCGACTTTACGCACTGAGGCAGGGACCCCTTGGAGAGCAACTGAAGGGTTTACAGCCCGGAGTGTCCTAATCCCTCTGGATTTACATTCCTACCTTAAAAGAAGACACTATACACCCGCAGTGCCCGTCGGTGGTGATGGCGTATTGCATAATAATAATAATGATAACAATATTAGCAAGGCAAGGCATTTTTATTTGTGCAGCACATTTCAACCACAAGGCAATTCAAAGTGCTTCACATAAAACCATTAATAACATAAAACAGGGAGAATAAAAAAGAGTTAAGAACATTGTTTTTTTTTTTTTAAACGGTCATTGTAAATATGTATTGCCGACATTTTAAAAGTATTTAAAAGCATTTCGTGAAAGAAACGTGTTTGAGAATTTGTGTTTCACATCAAAAATCCTTGCTGGCTGCAAAGAATTTAGACGTAGGGGGCGCTATTGGATGGGTAAAAAGGAGATTAATATGAAAAAGGTAAATATTAAATAGCCTGGACTAATGAAATATGAATAGTGTTTCAAAGCCAACTGTATGGATTCCAGGTTGAACCCAAAAGCACAACTCTAAAATGCAAATAAAGTTCTTAACTCGTGTATCAGGCAGGGTCTTAAGGCAGGGTTTTAAAAAATATTAAAAGGTGCATTGAACGTTTTGATTTCAAAAATAATAACCGTTGAGACGAGTTAAAAATCTCTGCGAAGTTCCATATCCGTGCAGCCCAGTAGGTAAAAGCACTCTCACCCTGTTTGGGGAAAAATCACACCAGTACTAAACTCTGTGAATGCGACAGCAAATGATCCAAGTTGGTTCCAAAACAAGTGTTTTAAGAAAGGAGCATTTAATGAGGCTATGTATGAGGCAATGTTTATTTTACTATACAGATATGTAACTGTGCGTGTCATCTGCAAAATGATGATCTGAAAATTACTTGTTCCAAGTATCCGTTGACCCACAGTGAAAATGTCTTTATAATGTCCCAAATGCTTCTCATATTTTTCGCACAAGATCTTCCCAAAAATCAGTAAACAACTCGGGTTTGCAATAACAAGTACCTGATGTGAGATGAGACAAGACTTGGACTCGGGTCTACTTGGAAAATTATTGTGGAACCACAAGACCCAAGACAGCGTCAGGAAGAACAGAAAGATGTGGTAATCCCAGACACGCCCGAGGTTTAAGGCACATGTTTTCACATTCAGAGCCAACCAAATTTGAGGTGATTTCCTGTGTTTTCATGCACTTTAGAAAAAAAGGGCTTCTATGCAAATAAGCAGACCTAGTCTCTTTGACTGAACTGCCAACCCAGTCTCACAGCAAAACGTGTAACAGCTACGTTGTGGACCAACGTGGTATTGTCACGCTTTCTCCCCCAAATCGTGACAATACTACGTTTTATTTTGGCCCATTCATTTACATCGCATAAACGGAAGGTCTTCTACATTCTCTGGTAGAAGATTATGAAAATATAACGCATACTTCTCGCCAGAAATGGCATCAAAATACATACAAATGCTGATGCTTTCTTAAAATATTGTGTTTTTCACAGATAATAGATTGACGGTCCGCCATTTTTTTTTTTAGCTGAGGGGAAGTTGATAGTCACGTGACCTAGTTGCAAAAAAAACATTGTATTGTCACGCTTTCTCCCTAAAAAGCGTAACAATACCACGTTGGTCCACAACGTAGCTTTTAAACGTTTTGCTGTGAGACTGGGTGGCAACTGCACATCTCATTGCAGCCTGATCTCCAAAACCTGTTCGTAAAAATGTATACGAAAATCTTCAAATTTCGTAGTGATACATATGAAATGATGTCACCCTATTCAAAGTGAATGGGGACCTGCACCCCGTAAACACACTTTGTGAAGTCTAACGATGTAAAATAAACGTGTTATGATTGCATTTTTAACGAGAAATCAATGTTAACTTGTAAGAATAGAATCCTAACACTAACCACCTCCAAAAATCCGAAGAGGCAGAGAGACGTTCACTCAAGAATCCGACATCGTCCGCCATGTTGTTCACTCAAGGGGCGTGGATAACCCCCACAGTTCGTATGTATCACTACGAAATTTGTATGTTCAAGATTTTCGGATACATTTTTACAAACGGGTTTGGTCTGAAACTGTCAGTTACGATGCTGACTTTTCATTCCTCAGCTTGATATATGGTTTGCGCAGAATGAAATTGTGGCGGGGCGTGGTTGGGTAGCTGTAGGGTAAATGGGAGGGCAATAGTTCAGGGAGCGATCCAGGGAAGAGGCATAATCAGCCTCAGCTGAAAGCAACTCCATCGTTTGTCTTTGCCTGTGTTTAAAACCACCAGTAGACGCGGAAGAGGGGAGGGACAGAAAGTTTGTTATAAACATGAATTTAAATTAAAACACGAGAAAGAAATCAGACTACGGTAATCCTGTAATATACTTTTGTGACGTATGACACATGCATCCCTACAGAACTAATATTATTGATAATGGCTTTTTCTTTGGAAGAAAGTGGAAGAAAATGATCTGAACCACATAAGTACCTTTCTGAATGAAAATCCCCAAGATTCCTCAGAAAAAGACTTTTCTGGTGTTGCGAGATCAGATCTGACCAATAGTCACCTCAGTTGGAAAGCAAAGCGTGCTAGTCAGCGGACGGTCAGCCGATGTTAGGTAACTGTGTACTTGCCGCCTATTCCCCCGGTGCACGGGGTTCTTGGCCACCGTTCAATGGAAACAGATGGTTTTATTCACCACAAATGAATCATGTTAGAAACACACATGCACTCACTTACACACATACTGTGTACATGCAACCACACATACGGTCTGGCACATCAAATTAAACTGCCTAGTCTCCTTTGGCTCCATTCCCTCCAGAATCAAATTCATAAAACATATAATGCGACATTATAAAAGAACCGCAGCAAAGGCAGCTGTTGAAATGGCCGTCTCTGCTTCGTTATTACGACCACACAGGCCACAGGTTTCTTCTGTTCCCACGAAGGAGAGTCTCCTGTCTTGGTTTACTTTGGTTGTGGTTCTAATTTGCTGTTTGTCTATCTGCTTATAAGCAGGCAGGAAGAAATGTGTTTTTCATTCAAGGCTGGAGCCACATTTTGCATCACAACCAATTTGTAATTCATGGATAAAATAAAAAAATTGTGGAACACGTAAAAGCCTAGATATTTATCCTGGACTTCTCAATGCAGATGGAATTTCAAACTGAAATGGGCACTGCTTTAATGCTCATCCTCCTTTAACCAATTTGGGTACACTGTATTGCATTTAACTTTTAGAATTGACTGAACTACACAATTTATATATATACTGTATGTGCAGTATATGTTTCTGTGAGTGTTTTCATGCACATCAATCAGATAATTACTAATTAGATTACCTAACTGCTACATTTCCTAGTCTGATCATTTTTTAGGTTTACACTTTTCACCGGAACATGTTTTATTAATAATAAATCTCGTACCGTTGGTCTTAAATTGCCTTCAGTCTGCAGGCTCAGGCCCAGCACAGAGTAAAGTAAGTAATCAAAATAATATCACACAGTTTTAGTTGTGGGTCACCAACTCGTCAAGCAACAGCTTATAACTGACTTGATTCAAGCAGCAGTTTTTTTGTGATATATAATCTCAGACCTTGCAAAACCTCAAGTGCATCACAACACCTTTTTTGCTCTACATCAGCTCCAAGGGGGCAAAGGTCTTGATGATACTTGATGAATATGTGTTTAATATTTAGAAGATATTAGCCTCGCTAGAAGCTTTATCTCCCGAGTCTCTTCTCTCAGACAAGGCCATGCAGGTGGATGTTCATTATTTTGACATGTGAAATGATGTGAGCCTGGACAGCAGGAGGAGGTATAGGTGTTACAAATTCTTCTAGATCAGGGGTCTTCAATGTTTTTCAGGCCAAGGTCCCCCAAACTGATGGCGAGAAGGAGCAGGGACCCGCTATTCTACGGAGTTTGGTCCGCTAACTTTTATTTTTGAATTTTGCGCTCTTTAGACGTGAGCATAAACGAGCGATCTGATTGGCTGGTGCCTGCGCTGTCGTATTTGGATGAGAGGAGCTGTGAGTGAACCGGTGCCCAGCTTGAGAGCTGCTGTGGGAAGCTGAGTGTGTGTGAAAGATAACGTCTTCTCCATCAATTTATCCGTTCTCTACAATATGTTATATTCATGTTAATGTGTCTTTAAAGACAATAAATCAATAAATACAATTCTGATTCAAGACATTTAATTTTGTGGGAAAAAGAAAATTTAAAAAATCTTTTTTTAAATGTCTTATCAAAGATTTTACAACCGCCCTGCAGTACCTCCGCGGACCCCCTGTTGAAGACCTCTGATCTAGAACATGTTCCCACTCAGTCAGTGGAGATTTTAGGAAGAACGCAGCCCCACATTCCCCCATCACCCGGTGTGACTCCCCCGTCACCGCCGTGGAGTCTTTCCGCTTCCTGGGCTCCATCATATCCAAGGACCTCAAGTGGGAGCTGAACATCAGCTGAAGAAATTCAACCTGTCAAAGACTATGATGGTCCACTTCTACACGGCCATCATGGAGTCCATCCTCCGCTCCTCCATCACCGTCTGGTACGCTGCAGCCACAGCCAAGGACAAGGGCAGGCTGCAGCGCGCCATCCGCTCTGCAGAGAGGGTGATCGGCTGCAATCTGCCGTCTTCCAGGAGCTATAAAGACCCTTCTCACCCCATTTGTGCCCCTTCCATCTGGCATGAGGCTGATGTCCATCAGGACCAAGACCACACGTCACTCACACACACACACACACACACACACACACACACACACACACACACACACACACAGTTTCTTCCAGTCGGCAGTCAGGCTCATTAACAGGGCCCCGGTCCCCCCCTGACTGAATCTTACATCGCTTTTTCCACCGGTCACTCCCCTGAAGATATCTTCACACTCCATATGTAAACACGCTCGTCACTTTCACATACGCTCACATTACAGTTGTGTTGAATATAGTCATCTGTTTGCCTGTGCACTTTATTTTTATTCTTTTTTTTATTTTATA